GGGAGCGGGGCGCGACGGGAGCCCCCGCGGGGCCGCTGCGAGGCCGCGGGGCGCGGGTTTCGGTAGTGGTTTCGCCCCGGGCCGGAGCCCGCGGGGCGCGGAGGGAGCTTTCCCCGCCGAGGGGCGACTGGGCGAGGCCGCGCCGCTTTCCTCGAGGTTGGGGAACTCCGGGAACCCCGCGTCCAGCCCCGGCTGGGACGGGGTGGTGCGGCTCCGCGCGCCCCATTTCCGTCTTCTCTCCACCCCCGTAACCCTGGGAAGAGGGGGTGGCTGGATCGTGTCTGAAAAATTCTACCAGTGTACTTATTTATTGCTGGGGGTTGAACCCAGGACCGTCACACTGAGCGGCAGCCCTAGTCCCTATATTTTGAGACGAGGTCTGGCTAAATCCCTAGCTTGCCCCGCCTGGGCTCTGCTGTGTGACCCTCTTGCCTCAGCCTCCCGTAGTACTGGATTCACAGGCGTGCGCCCCACATCCCGGTCGCTGAAATACTGCTGGAGATGTGGGTCATTCTGGCTAGTTTGGAATCGCTTATAGGAGTCGTGTGGACCGGCGCCAAGTTTTAAGTTGTAGGACACAGTTGCTTGGGAGCGAAGCCGGACTTCGAGGGAAGCGGCGCCCGCCGCGGAGTCCCAGCCTTGACCAAAAGAAAGGAAGGCAGGAGCTGCGGGTGCACGACCTGCCCCGGGCGGTACCTGCCGTGCCTGCTCGGCCTGCGGCCACGGTCACCGGCGTCCTCGGTCCCCAAGTCCCAAGTGAAGTGACTGAGCCCCCCCCCCCGGGAAGGGGGGCTCGTCCTCGCTGGCTAGCCGCCCACCCAGAGAATCAGCCGGGCTCAGAGGAGCGGGCAGCTTTCGAAGCTGGTTGGTGTGTGGCCTGCACGCAGCACAGGTGCATTCTCGGATCCCTGGAAAGGAGAAACGCGTCTCTCTAAGGCCTGATAGTTCTTGCATTGGATGAAAACCAGTTTTTTATTTGCACAGGTTGAGTGAGTCAAACTTTTACATCCCCACGTGTAGCAGTAGTTACTTTGCGCTGCACATGTTAATCATGATTTTCTTTTAGTGTTTGGAAATAGATATTTTAAGTGCTGGAGCCACCAGAATAGGTATTTCCTCCAGAACAACACTGTTAGCCCATGGCGACACATGCTTGTAATCTCAACACTGGTGGGGGGGGGGGCTAAGGAGGGGGATTCCCGATTAGCCGGGCAGGTTGGTGATTTAGGGAGACCCTGTCTCAAAATTTAAAAAAAAAGGTGGGGGTGGGAGAGGGCTAGGGAGTACCAAAAACAAAAAACACATTTTAATTTTGCATTTACTCACTAGGTGCCTACTTTGTTACGCTTTGGAGAGGATAGAGAAGTAGGTAGAACAGGTTCTGTGCTTTCTTGGCTTGCACAGGCTGTTTAGGTAAATTAGGGACAGTGCTTATTGTAGGTGTGGTGCTGTGATTAGAGGCAGGTCCTGTTAGAGTGTTTGAAGGTGGGTAAACATACTACAAAATGGGCTGGCTTGTAGAGTATTTCAGCCAATCACAGAAGGAATTTATAGACTTCTGTAGCCCTTACTAGTCTCTATGGGATAGTTTAAGTTTTCTTGCATCTTGCTTGATGTAATAGTAAATTGATTTTTTTTTTTTTTTTTTTTTACTTTCCAGTATTGGGGATTGAACCCCAGGATGCTCTACCATCTGCTCACATCCCTATTTATTTTTTTTATTTTGAGACAGTCTTGCTAAATTGCAGAGGCTGGCCTCTAACTTGTAATCTTCCAGCTTCCCAAAGAACTGGGATTGTGGGCACGTGCCATCATACCTGACTCTCATGGGTTTTCTGTTTTCCTCTTTTTTTTATATTTTAAAAATGATGTTGGACTTATTTGTCCTAATTATATCGAGATTACTTTTAGGACTGGGCAGGACTTTTGCTTAGCGTGCAAGATAGTCAATGCTTGTGAGTGCATAAATGATGTCATGCCTCTCCACTTGCTCAGCAACCTGAATTTTCTTTAGTTGCATTTTAAGCTGTACTTGATTATTTAGTAGGCTGTTTTCATCCAGATTACTCTTGTGGAAGTATTAAGGTCGAAAGACCTCACTGATTTTTCTTCTAGCCCTTGGCTTCTGGCTGCATTTCTCTGTGAACGGTGGTGCGAGTTGCCTAGGGACCTTGCCAGTCTGATCTGGAGGTTGGGATTCTGCCTGACAAGCTCCTGCCAGTGCCTGTCCCGCTGTGTGTCCTTTCCCCTCATTCCCTCCAAAGGAAAGCACTTGACTTCTTTAGCCATCAGAACTCGAAGCAAGTGTGTTTGCTGGGTGTTTGTGAAGAACTTGAAGGCATTCATTGGTGGACTGGAATTCCAGCTCCTACGTGACCTTGATTTTGACTTTTTTTTTTTTTTTTTTTGGTCTGTTGATTTTATTAATGAAGTTTAAAAGAGACTGTTCCTTTAGGCTAGGAACTGTGTCTAGGAACTAGGGATAAGTGATGGTGAATACAGACAGGTTAGTGCTTGTGAACATGGTGCTCCAGATGGGGTAGAGTAATGTCGTCGTCGTCGTCGTCGTCGTCGTATTTTTTTGGTAAGGAAAATTTGCTCTGGAATTAGTTTGTGATGGAGTGGGCAATCTGGAGACCATGTCTGAAGAGTTTACATTTGAGCTGAGAATTCAGCTTGAAAATTTCAAGACTTTTCCCCTCTGGGACTGGGGATTGCATGTGCTGGGCAAGTGCTTTACCTCTGAACTGTATCATCAGCTGTAGCAGAGCTTCTTAAGCTATATGGTTTGCTTAAAAGTCATCTGACAGCTGGACATGCTAGCATGTGTCTGTAATCCCAGCTCTGTGAGAGACTGAGGCAGGGAGATCCAGAGCTGGAGCACAACCTGGGCGTGGAGGAAGTTAGAGAGACCCTATCTCAAAATACTAGCAATTTACCAGTACTATGTCTCCAAATAAAAAATAAAGGGCTGGGGATGCACCTCAGAGAAGGGACAGGCTTGTGGGGAGAGGTTGGGAGGGCTGGGGGAGTGTTGCCTGGAGGCCTTAATAAAAATGTAGTTCTTCGTAGAAATAGCCCTAGTCCCTTTAAAAATCTGCTTGATTTCACAATTTTAGGAAAGTTGTTATGATGTACCTATTGTTTACAATGAACCATTTAATATCAGTTGTGGCTTAAACTTTTTATTTTTATTTATTTTTTAAATTTATTTATTTATTTATTGTGTGTGTGTGTGTGTGTGTGTGTGGCCAGCTCAGTCCACCAGGGGGCGGGGCTGGCTGGCATGTGGTGCTGGGGG